CACACACACGCACACACACACACGCACACACACACACACACGCACACACACACACGCACACACACATGCACACACTGGGGCTGTCACAGTATACGTTCTTGCTGTGCTATAGCGCTGCTACAGCCAGCAAAAACGTATATTGTCGAGAGGCTGTTTGTGTGTGTGTGTTCGGAAAGCGAGTGCATTTTGTCATCCAATTTCATCTCTGCAACCAGGAAAACTGGGAGGCTGAAACTTTGGATGTATGTTCCTACCTCGTGTTTCATCCTCCTGTTTTAAGATCTTTCCCCATACGTGCCTAGACCTTGCGTACGGGACCCCCAAATAAATGTGTTGGCCGGAAACGATTTCGCGAACCAGGCAAGGTAGAAAGCTGAAACTGTGCAGGGATATTCTCTATGCACGTGCGAGTTAAAGATTTTAAACTCAGCTGTCAAGCCCCCAAACCAGAGCTTCAAGCAGCTTCTCAACCCAAAAATCGTTCGCAACTCGGACTTGAACCGCAACCGTATATGCAAATGAACGCGGATTTTTTGTAAAACGACCGTTCGAGCAATACTTCCAATTTTTAATGAACTGGAAATTTGCATTTTTTCAAAAAAATCGTTCGCAACTCCGACCTGAATCGCAATCGTATATGTAAATGAACATGAATTTTTTGACAAACGACCGTTCGAGCAACACTTTCAATTTTTCATGAACTGGAAATTTGCATTTTTTCAAAAAATTTGCATTAGTGATTTTTTCAGAGAGCGAGCATTTACCGAAAAAACGACCGGACTTCATGCAAAAAACCGGTATCATGCACCTGTATGTCCGTACGGCTCTATAATGCACCACCTTCATCCCAACTAGCGCCCTTCCTCCTGCATGCCGGAAAGGATCAAAGCACGCTAATATGACCCAAGTGTTGAGCTACGACGTAGGGATCATTTCTGCTAATAGCGATCAGCGAGTTTAGTGCAAAAACGCATGATCGCACTGGAGAGCCTGGTGCGTTCCACCCTGGGTTCCATTTGCATATAAGCAAAAACGCATAACTAGAAAGCTAAAGTTAAGGGGACGTAGATTTGGACTGTTTACAAGAACACAGGCCTGAATTCATCTTGGCAGCTTTCTCGTTATGCGTTTTTGCATATATGCAAATGCGAAAACGCATACTGTGACGACCCGGGTGTGTGTGCGTGTGTGGGTATGTATGCATATGTGTGTGTGTCCGTCCGGGTATTTTAGCGCGACATCCAAGCAAGCTCCGGCGCCAAAATTTTGCTATTGAGTTCCCCGACCAAGTGCCTCCCCAGAACCGTGGTACCGACCCTCGCGCACATCTGAGCCCAGCGTGTGGGCGCATGGAAGTTTTGGCGGGAAAAGCGTTAACTCGGGAACCAGAAAAGCTAGAACGCTGAGACTTTAAGATCATTTTCCCCGTCCGTATAGAACTCAAAGATTTCAAATTCAGGCTATGGGTGTGCGTGTTCCCCGCATGCGGCCCCGTGAGGGTTCCTGGTGGGGAAATCTCCAACTTGGAATCCAGGGGGCTGAAATTTTAAGGGGGTGTTCCCTGCCCATGTACAACTTAAATTGATCAAATTCTGTCCCCGGGCATGCGTGGCTATCACGTACGGCCTCGTGAAAATTTTTGGCGGGAAAGTGGTTAACCCCGGAACCAAAAGAGCTGAAATTTCCAGCGAATGTTCCTTGTCCAAGTACAGCGTAAGCAATTAACTTCCCGAAATTCGAGGACCAGTATGTCACACATTTCTAGCTACGGCATTACACCATGAAACACTGCAAAAACGCATGATCGCATGGGCCCGCCCGATGCGCGTCGTCGATGATTTTCATTCTGCGTCTTGATATGTAGCCTCAGGTCCTAATATAGACTATTATACTTTGAGAATCAAAAAAGCTGCAGGATCGAAGCTAACATGGTTCAACTTGATATTGTGAGGTGAAAAAAAAAAATTGAAATCAGACTCCTGGCTTGCTTTATCTTGACCTATGGCCACAGATCTACTACCGGCGTGATTTACTACCTGTTCAGTCCAAAATTCGTTCTCGGCCTTTTCGTGTGATGAACCCTTACAACGAAATGTACCAGTTGTTCAGTCCTGATGCACTCGGTCTGTGTAGCACGCTGCGGGAGTGTATAACTGCGCCGATGAACGCCGCCACTTGCTGCAGTAATAATGGGTTCTTGTTCGCCCTTAGGCAGTGAAATAAATTCATTATAGCTGCATGGATGAGTTGTTTCCTTGAAAGTTAGTAATTACAGGTATCTACTCGAACAATGTAACGTTGTATTTTCGAAATTCACCGTATCGTGTACAGAGTGATTTGACGGTGGAAATGGGAGCGTTGCTGACCGTGGAAACTGGTGTACAGCTTTATTTTGATCCAGGCACTGGCATCAAGGTCAACGGAGGTATTTGGGCGGTGGTTAGTGCTTTCGTTTGGAACATTTCGCGTTGTACTTCCTCTCTCTCTCTGTTTGATTCAGAGAAAAAGAAAGGTTATGCATGTTCGCGAGTGTAGTCGCTTGCATGGGAGGAACTCTTAGCTGACAGTTTGCACGATTCATACCTTTGAAATGCAGTCGCTGAGAGTGGGGAGTAAAAATGCGTGGATTTTAAAGATTTTTTTTGTCTTGAACTTCTCTTTCTGGCGTATTTCCCACCTTATCTCTCCCGGTCCTATTGGACTCACTCAACAGTATTTATAAAACTCAAGTGTACTCGCTCACCAGATGAATCACTTATTGGGAAAATTTTTGGAGGTGCGACATTTGTATTTCAGATAGTGTATAGTGCAAAAGATAAGGCTTTTAGCCCTCCCACCCACTTATGCAGCTGGAGGGCTAACACCCGTATTTTTTTGCGCCAGAGAAGCCGAGTCCAGCTTAATAATGTCAAGAACGTGTAAGAAATGGTAAAGTGTGTTCAAAAGCAAAATTGATTAACTTTAGAATAAGCTCAAAATTCAATAAGAGGAATGTTTAGTAGCAAATTTGGAAAAAACTCCAAACTCAAGTCTGGAGTGGGGCTTTTTCGAAATCCGGATGTGCCTCTCCCACGTAAATATGCCGAAAGCAGTTAACGAAGTTCAACAAAGTGAAACGTTTTGTAAATTGAATCAAAGTCAATCAGAACAAATTGCTGCGCTGTTTTCAAAAAGGTATTCACAAGTGAACATCCTAAACACAAAGGGCTGATGGAGTTTGATTTCTGATATGCACACTTGCACAATAGTTACCCCTCAGCCGAGCAAATTTCTCCATTAGGCTGACCTACATATATTTATGCGTTATTGCATATACGCAAATGCAAAAGCACATTGTGACGACTCATGGGGTGCGTCGTGTGTGTGTGTGTGTGTGTGTATGTGTGTGAGTGTGTGTGTATATATATTTGTTTGTGTGTGCGCGCGCGCGTCTGTC